GATCTCATAAGCCAAGGTCGAATTCGAACCTTGGTACAAATTATTTTATCTTAAGCCAAAGTCGAATTCGAACATTGGTACGAATTATTTTATCTTAAGTCAAGGTCGAATTCGAACCTTGGTACAAATTATTTTATCTTAAGCCAAAGTCGAATTCGAACATTGGTACGAATTATTTTATCTTAAGTCAAGGTCGAATTCATATATATATATATATATATCATTATTGTCTTACAAATTGTTGCATGTGCTCAATTAAAGGAAATGCATTTACGAACTTTAAGACATTTTAACTAATTATTTAACCCAACATTTTTTCAAAACGTAACAAACACTGACTTTTTTATTAATAAACAATTTTTATTGGGTACACCTTATTAAAAGAAACTAAATTCCAAATTACAATGACGAATACACATGTTGTGAGAGCCTAGGATGAGGGTGGACAGATAAAGGCACTGCTCTTTGGAGGGTGAGCCCATATGCTTCGTCCATGTTGAGTTTTTTGGGGTCCAACCCATTTTCTAACTCCCAATCAAATGCATGGGCTAAGGTTGCAACAAGCAATTGAACCACCTTTAGACCTAGGCTTACACCAACACATATTCTACGCCCAGCACCAAAAGGTATAACCTCAAAATTATTACCCTTAACATCAACATCAACTTTTTCACTACCAGGGAGAAACCTTTCAGGCTTGAACTCTAATGGGTCAATCCATTCCTTGGGGTCACGCCCTATGGCCCAAATATTAACCAAAAGAGTTGCACCTTTAGGTATGTGGTAACCAAATATTTCACAAGCTTCTTCAGCAACTCGTGGGAAAGAGGGGTCGGTGGGTGGAGACGTAATGTTTCCTTCACCACAGCTTGCAAGTAGGGAAGGTGGGGTAAGTCTAGTTCAGTCACAAGCCTATCTTGACCCACAACAATATTCAACTCTTGTTGGACCTTAACCATGATTTTTGGATTCTTAATTAGTTCTGCTATTGCCCATTCTATTGTGCTTGATGATGTATCTGTCCCAGCAATTAATATGTCCTGCAAACATATGTCAATATATGTAGTTATTCGATCTATAGTTTAATATATTAGATGATGTGACTGAATTCTTATATGTTAATTGAATTTGTTAGAAGTACAAGCGTCATATATGTCATGAAATTAATTTAGATGATTGAATAAGATATTAAAAGATTTATAATTATTATATCTAGATAATGTACATACCGCAAATATTGCTTTGATCTCGTGTTCAAGGACTTCATCTCCTTCTTGATGAGTCTCTTTATGTGATAGCAATGCACTCAAAAAGTTTTTGTCTTGCTCATTCTTGGAAATTATGTGTTCTTCAAGAATGGTAGTTAAAAATGCATCAAGCCTCTTATGTAAATTCTTTGTCTTGGGTTTTACTCCTTGAAGATCCAACCAGTCTAAGATAGGAACAAAGTCACCGATATTGAAAACTCCAAGCAATGCCATAAGATCCCCCACTATAGATCTAAACTCATCTGCCTTTGTATCATAACTACCATAATCATTGAAAAGTCGTCGCCCTATCATTATCTTTGACATTGTGTTGGTGGTACATATGTTCAATAGTCGCCCTAAGTTCACTGCTTTGGATTTTGATATTGCTAAATTATGTATCAATCTCTTCACCTCTTCCTACATATACATGTATTTTAGTTACATATTTATTTTATTATTTTCATTTGAAAAACTAAATATACTTAACTGGACATTCATTATTTTTTCCTTTCTAGTTTAGTTGTGCTCTACCACTTTTGCTTTCTCAAATTCATATTTCACAAATCATGAGGTGTAGTAGAGTAGAAGATTATAAGCAAGAATGAACTTAATAGGAGAGAATCTTGTGATGTTACAAGTTGGTGAATTTTGTGGTTTAAGAATAATTGTGTCATGTTTATCAATTTAAAGGACGTGAGGTTTGTATACCTTAAATACTAGATTAAATGTCAAATCTTAAAATTGGTGTTTTATATTACTAATCATATATCTGAAAATCATATTTTCTAGGCACAAAAAAATCATGTACTAAACACCTCTAAAGTTAAATCTCTTACAGTGAGTTTGGACGAAGAATTTTAATGAAATGATTCTTATTTTTAAAGGATTTCAAATGCTTTGGAGGCGAAATATTTTATTTGGATAAAAATTTTATAAAGAATTTAAAATTTAAATATTTGTTAAATTCTTTAAAATTGTAAAATTTCAAAATTTTCTAAAAAAATAATTTAAAATTCTTCATATTTTTCTCTCTTTTATCTCATTTGTATATCTTTTTATCTCTACATCCTCTCTTTATCCTATTTATTATCTTTATTTTTGTCTTTCTCTCTTCCCTCTCCTTTCTCTGTTCTCTTTCCATTTTTTCTCTCTCTTTCTTTTCATTCTTACCTTTATAACTTTTATCTCTTTTTCTTTCTCGTATCTCTCTTCCTCCATATTTCCCTCTCGCTTATATCTTTTTTCTATCCATCTCTCTCTCTCTCTCTCTCTCTCTCTCTCTCTCTCTCTCTCTCTCTCTCTCTCTCTCTCTCTCTCTCTCTCTCTCTCTCTCTCTCTCTCTCTCTCTCTCTCTCTCTCTCTCTCTCTCTCTCTCTCTCTCTCTCTCTCTCTCTCTCTCTCTCTCTCTCTCTCTCTCTCTCTCTCTCTCTCTCTCTCTCTCTCTCTCTCTCTCTCTCTCTCTCTCTCTCTCTCTCTCTCTCTCTCTCTCTCTCTCTCTCTCTCTCTCTCTCTCTCTCTCTCTCTCTCTCTCTCTCTCTCTCTCTCTCTCTCTCTCTCTCTCTCTCTCTCTCTCTCTTTTCTCTCTTCATTATCCCCTCTATCTTGTTCCTTGTTGTCTTATCTCCTCTTTGTTCTTTCTCTTTTTATCTCTTATCTATCTCTCCTCTCTTTCAAAATCAACATAAAAAATATTAAGGTCTAATTCGAACCTTGGTACGAATTATTTTATCTTATGCTAAGGTCAATTTCGAACCTTAATGTGAATTACAACAAGGCTCAAATTCGAACCTTAATACGGGTTACACTATAACTAACAAAGGTCAAGACTGAACCTCGGAGCGAATCAAGCAGATAATATTAAAAAAACGCAAAAAACCCAACAGTGGTGCGAATAAACAAATTATATACACAACAAGTTCACCAATGCAAAGTAAGAGTTCAAAAAGAAAGGAAAATAAACTAAGTTATTACAAAAACGGCGACCTAAGTTGTGGTATTCTCACTCGAGCTATCAGGGAGGTTGTCTTCCTATACCAGCCGCCCAGCTCGGACCTCTTTCTCTACGTGCATAGCAGAAAGGTCGACCCCGGGCGCAAGTAACCTCGCCTGATGAGCTGCCTTGACAAAGCCCTTCTTGTGCTCCAGCAAAGCAGCTCGCTCGGTCTCAACAAGCCTCATCTCTAAGGCCGCCTTCATCGCAGCCAACTGATCAAGGTCCGCCTTCAAGGCACTGGCCTCCTCCTCCTTACCCGCCAGAAGCACCTCGTCACAGAGACGCCTCTCAGCCACCTCTGCCAGATCAGCTCTCAACCCCGAGACCTCGTCTTCAAGAGAGCGCACTCGATCCCGAGAAGAATTGGCGATCTCCTGAAGCTCGCCAACCTGGGCATCATAGACCTCATTAGCCCTCAAGGAAATCTCCAAAGACTTCTGAGTCCTTGCGAGATCCCACCTCGTGGCTTGCAGCTCGGCCTCATTCTTCTTTACCACCTCGCTCAGAGCGGCCCCCAAAGCTCGGTTCTCCTCCTCCAGCGACTAAACTCGGCTTCTAGCACTCTCGAGCTCCCCCTACATCTTCGACCACTTGTGCTTCCAATGATCCACAACGGTGATCGCCCTCTACATGAAGACCTCTGTAGAGTCTAGGCCCTCCACTACCCCGACCTTCTCAATAATTGCCTTGTCGGCCGAACAGAGCGAACCTCGAGGGTAGAATTTCTCAGTAATCACCCTCGAGCTCCACAACCACGTCCGACGACATACTCACATGATCCAACCTCGCTAGGGGGTGAGTGACATCGAAGCTCTATATGATGCACTTCCCTTTCGGAGCCCCTGGCGGAGGTGGAGGCGGCGCAACGGTCGCAAGGGTCGATGACGGTGCCCTAGAACTTGGCCCCTCTTCGCGGGCCTTGGCGGGAGTTGAGGTAGGCGCCGCCTGCCCAGCAACTAAGGTATCCGACCTTGGCACCTCCAAGCTCGGCTCTACCCGCACCTCTTAAGCCTAGGTCGAATTCGAACCTTGGTACGAATTATTTTATCTTATGCTAAGGTCAATTTCGAACCTTAATGTGAATTACAACAAGGCTCAAATTCGAACCTTAATACGGGTTACACTATAACTAACAAAGGTCAAGACTGAACCTCGGAGCGAATCAAGCAGATAATATTAAAAAAACGCAAAAAACCCAACAGTGGTGCGAATAAACAAATTATATACACAACAAGTTCACCAATGCAAAGTAAGAGTTCAAAAAGAAAGGAAAATAAACTAAGTTATTACAAAAACGGCGACCTAAGTTGTGGTATTCTCACTCGAGCTATCAGGGAGGTTGTCTTCCTATACCAGCCGCCCAGCTCGGACCTCTTTCTCTACGTGCATAGCAGAAAGGTCGACCCCGGGCGCAAGTAACCTCGCCTGATGAGCTGCCTTGACAAAGCCCTTCTTGTGCTCCAGCAAAGCAGCTCGCTCGGTCTTATATATATCATTTATAATCAATTTTATCATTGATGAAAATTAAATTGTCTTATCCAAATAAAGCATTTATTGAATGATTAAATTGAAATTAAAGTAATTAAAATTTAAAAAAAAAATTGAATTCCTTGGATTTTAAAACTTTTTGCTAAGATTTTAAGTTTGAATCTTTTGGACAGTATTTTACACTAATAAAATGGTAAAAATAATTAACAGTATTTTTATAAATTATATTTTTGTTCAATAAATGTTTTTAATTATAACATATATTAAAGGATAGTAATAAGTTATAACGATTTATGCATGGAATAAAGTATTAATAAAATTAATATTAAAAATATTGTATTTATTTAAAATTTTTGAAAAACAAAATAAAGGATAATGTTTTAGAAATAAGTAAAGCGCATAATTTTTTTTTTAATTTTAGGCAATCATATCTCTATATAAATTAGAAGACTTATTTTTAAAACTATTACCTTAAACTTCAACTTTAAATATGTACCATTTTTTTTTATAACATTATAGTTTTTAAACAAAAAAATATGACATAATTAGCCAATAACATTATCCTTGAAACATGCCATTAGGGATTTGATGTATAGTCTATATGTATGAAATTAAATAAATCTTGGTACTTTATTGATTGAGAATAAAGAGTAAAAAAAATTAGAAATAAAATATTTATAAAAATGAAAATAAAAAATATGAACATTAAATTTATTCCGATAAATAATTTTATCTTAAACAATCAAACTGGAGAGAATTTATTTCAAGTGATTTTTTCCTTTTGTATTTTTTTTTTCACTTCAAAATTCTACTCTTAAATATATCCTCTATTGTTATTAATTTTGTGTCATTCTTGGGTCTTCAATTTTTTTCCATCATTTTTTGGTACATATCTACCATTTTGTAGATGACAAAATCTCCTTCTAAACACGTTTATTCCATTTATAAGAATGAAATATGAGACTTAAGAATTTTGAACCCAATTTCACGTGTACCAATGTTATGTTGGTATTTGCTTAATTTTATTAAATTACACGTTTGATGTTTTATCTAGAGCAATATTAATTAGGAGTATGTTGATGTTCTATTTGGTTTAACTTCTTATAAAATTTAAAGGTTTATGAGTGAAGATTTTAAATAAAAGGAAAGAAACAAGTATTTTTATTTCTAAATTAAAAAAAATTACATAATATTTATAAAACACTAGTCTCTGAATTTTAGATAAAAAGTCTAATTTAGTTGATTGAATAGAATTTTTGAATGTTGTAAACGTGCTTGTGTTCGATTTGTATGAATAAAAATGTCTCTAACATCTAGTCCCTCAATAATGTAGAATTTGTCCGTTTTCATCATCCATATTTTCTACAGTGACACCTGTAAATAATATGTTCTATGATAAGAAAGTTTCCTTCTTTATTGATTAGTTTATACCTTAATTTAACTAAAAGAAGTAACCAGTTAAATCAGTGAATGGGTTTTTTATGTTTTACTAACAATTTCCTATATTATATTTACGTGCCTTAGCACATAATTTTTTTTAAAAAAATGAATTGACTCGAATAAATTAAAATTAATCCATTCCCTTAGATGTTATATGAAAACAATTTCATTTAATATATTTTTAAAAGTTGAAGTGTACAATGCGAGGAACTTTTATATATATA